ATATATATTTTATATATATACACAATTATATATATATATCAAAGTTGAAGGAATATTTGGTGCATGCTAGTATTTTAGCTGTTTAACTTCTAATTTTTAAGAAGTAGGCCAAAACTCATCAGCTGCAAAGAGACTTTGTAAGACTTAGATCATGAGGCTTCACTAAGTCTGGGTATGTCTCCTTAAGGCAGGGTAGGAAACAGCACATTCCCAAGCACATTAAGGATGTTAGCTAATAAGGAAAAAGAATTATTCAACCACGTACACTGAACTGTAACTCAGAGGACTATATTAAGAATCAAATTATATCGAGGCAATGACATACACTATATACACAAGTAATAAGATACTCGCAGATTGGGACTTCTGAAACATCTGGGCAGAAAAAATGCATTAGAAAACCAAAAAATATAGAACACACCGATCTACACTTTAAAATGCTAGTGTTACATTTATAGGTTACAGATTTTTCTTTTAAAATAGTATTTAAACATTTCAATATTAATACGTTTCTATATTACAGTGAAAATTTGCCCCAAATTTTCCAACAAAACATTTGAGAGGATTTAATTTTATATATATCTTACACCATTTATCAGGATTATAAATAATGAGTTAGAAAATAACTACCTTCAGTGCCACAGGTATAAGCATGTCCTGGTTTGGAATTGGATCCACTGTTGTCATTAACAAAACACTACTGTTTAGAACTCACACTCCAGTCCACATTCGATTAGTATTTTCATTGAAGAATTCAAGCGAGACCACATTTTGATGTGTGCACCTGATCTTCCTAAGGATTGACATCAGTGAAACTAATGAAGGAGCTGGACAATAACATGATTAGGAGCATTTCTTCTCTTTCAGGAACCCACCTCCACAACTGCTCAAGAACCTCACTAAGGGCCTGGAGATCAACCTGTTACTATTTCTCTGTGCAAGTGTGCCTCTGGCCAGAGTGGATGCTCAATGGCAAGACCTTGATTGCCATCCCTGCAGAATCAGGACTTCAGAAAAGGAAACATTTCTAGGAACAGGTTCTCTCCTTGCACCTCAGAACTTCACGGTAGTTACGCTTCTCCCACGAGGTTAAGCCCTCTAGTGGGTGATCAGTAACTAACCATTAGAATAAAAGTCTCCAGCCACCCAGGACACCAGCCCAATTCCATGAACATTTCTCATTTAGAAAACAAGTCTGTGGGGATGACACCACTTGACAGGATTAACAAGGCTTTTTTATAGGATCAGAGTTCAGTTCAGAAAGCATTTTTATTATGCTAAGAGCCTTTTGGTTGAAGGAATGGCATGCAGATATCATGTCTGGATATATTAGTAGCAATGTAAGTTTTATTTTCAGCCTTTCCATAAAAGAACAGCGAAACAAAACCCCCCAGTTGTTACAAGCCCTTCTGTGGGCAGAAAAACTGATACATCAGGTTTTCCCCGTAACTGTGAAATCTACCCCTCAGGTTACTGACACCAGGTATTGCATCTCCCCTTGCCTTCCTCAGTTTCACACCACTGTAACTTTCTGTCCTCTCTTTTTCCCCTGCAACTGACAGCTTTAACGGCTAGGCAAGAATCACTCTTGAACAAGCCATGGCATAGGGTACGTATGTGCCAACTGGCAGGCCAGTACATGTTTCCTAAGCAATGAGTAAGCCCTTGCTTTTCAGTCACCACATGAGCCAAACAACTGAAAGGCTTATTTTTTCCTCAGCTGAAGCTAATTAACATCTATCAAGATGCCAGTTTTCACTCATAGGAATTCAAGTAATCAAATTTGAAGTTAGCCCTGCATAGCATTTTTTCCTTAGAAAGCCAGGCTAGGAGGCAGAATATCAAGTTTTCAGCAGCCCGAGAGCTAGAATAATTTGTAAGCAACTCTACTACAAGGAAGAAACTCCGAGGAACTCACTGGATGAGAAATGGGTGCAGAAAAGGGGAACTGAGGAAAGCAAAGCATCCATGTTGCCAAATAGAAAGCGTCTGGAATAGAATATCTCATTCGCTTGGTGTAAGACAAAAATTCTGGTATGTACATCAGTGACAGAATACACAACAGTCCTCTCTGCTTCAATGAGTGTGTGAGGTGTTTTTTTTTGTTCTATTCAGGTCGTGTAATGCAGTATTCTGTGGCAGATACCAACAGCTAAAATGGGAGACAGATGGAGAATTCCTTTTCAGAAGGAATTTGGTCACCTTATACATGTAACTCTTGAATAACTACACTTGAGTGAACATGACTTAAACGCCTTTCTACAGAAAAAGCAGATACATCATCACAAATATCAATACTTATAAAAAGCCATAAGCACCCATTTTCCTAAACTAGAGCAAAAGGGCAAAATTGCCCTATTCTTTCCAATTCCCCAGCCCAAGTCACAAAGGAAGCTGGTTTAACTTTGTGTTGACCAAGTCACAAAGGAAGCTGGTTTAACTTTGTGTTGACCAAGTACATTGAAATGACCTACCATTAAATAAGTGAGAGAAGAAATACCATGTCACCAGAAAGCCCAACAAAAATCTCAAATGATAAGGTGCTCATATGCCAATATTGAAATTGCAATAGAAGTATACAATAGACACAGGAACACTAGGGTTAGAGAGCAACCCAGCAGAATCTGGGCTCTCGGTTGCTTAGTCTCCAATGTTTCTTCCAACTTCTCTCCGAAATGGTTTTCAAACAAACGAAAAGAACAGACCAGATCTGTGCCCATGCCTGTTGGGTCAGCTCACACCCAAGACCTCATTCACTTGCAACTCTTCCAAGGGACAGAATAGGCCTTTCCAACAGCCTTTTGTTGGCACATCCTACGTCTTGCTCAGAACTTGACTCCTTTTTTTTTTTTTTTGGTCCCTGGGAGATCATTTTCAGGAAGAAAATCTTCAGTGGACAAGAAACTAAAAGTTCCCCAGCATTTCATGTTTGATATACACACACCCTAGCTAGATCTTTGAAAATTACTGATTTTCAGCTCCAGGTTTTTCCCATTTACTTCCCTAAGGCCTTCAAATTGTCTCAGCTGGCTCATGACATAAGCTGGCTGGCTTCCAAAGGGATTTTTCTTTTTTTTTCATTTAAGGTTGTTCTCCAGGTCTACATTCTTCTGTGCCTGTACTGTGAGAATATGTGGTTGAAGGATGACTCTTTCAAGCCTAATCTTAAACACAAAATCTTTGTTTTACATTTACAAAATATTACTTTGAATATGAATATACAGGGTTTGTTATTTTAAAAATAAAAAACAAAACGGTTTCCTACATTTAGACATCTTAATCCAGAAAACAGCCTATTATTTGGTATGGCAAGAGTTCAATAAACCTCCGTAACTACTTCAGTTTTGACAACATAAACTTTAAATACATACTTTAGAACGGCTGCTTGAATACCTGCTTAGCACCGTGTTGAGGGAATTACCCTTGAGGGGATAAATTCCTTGCCACTAAGCTGGCACAGGCAAAAGCAGCCCATGCTGTTGGGCAATACTCATTGCCATGTAGTATTCCATAGTGGTCGTTTGGAACGTCACTCTTGGTGCAGTATTTCTGGTGAATACACAAGGAAAATGGAAGTCCTTTGCAAGAACATTAACTGCCAGCACCAAAGCGTATGTGGAGAGATGCTTCATGGGCTGCACACTAGGGTGGCATGCTAAGGCAAGCCACGTAACACACAATATAGAAGTTATCATCTAGGAGTCACATCCACACTCTGGTGCATTACTGCCTAAGCCTGTAACCAGGCTGACATTTTTACATGGGCTACTTACTCTT